GAAAGGCACAATGAGAGGATGCAAGAACAACTCAGGTAAGATGGAGTATCCTTCACATCATTGTCCATTACTTGCCTAGGTCATTTTTCAAGCTGATTTCAGAAGGTGGCTCTGAATCCATCGGAACATTGATTAATGTGTAACACACGTTCTCTGCAGCTGTCATGGTTCTTGGTCACAACAGTTTTCTCAATGGAAGAATTATTTTGACATAAATAGCAGACAACCTAAAAAAACAAGCAAACAAAACCATCCCAAAGTTAACAGATTTTATCAACAAACAACAGAAAAACGTTTCCACAACTCACTTAATGATTTGAAAGGATTGCTGGGTTTCCCGAGAACCCACATTCAAAAGCCTTCTCAGTTTTCTGTGATGCTAAAACATTCCACAATGAAGACCACAGAATTTCCCAGAGACAATAAAAAAGTAAATTAAAGAAACCTTTCCAAAACTTAGGTGCAGTGAGAGATAACAGAAGTGCACAGGCACCTGACTGCAACTGAATGGATGCAGCGGCTTTTCCCTCCTCTACTCACCCCCTGATCCTGGCTTTACAGTTCCACTACCTTCCCTCTGAGTCTGTGCCCCTCCAGGTGAGCTGGCCTGGCTGCAAAATCAGCTGAAAAGCATCACAGCAAAGAAAGGGAAGAGTTTCTGATTTGTTTGACAACTATGAAGGAAACTTTGAAGATGAGCACAAGATCCAGCAGAGCAGAAACCAAAGACGGGAGAAAAGACAACACGGTGGAGAAGGAAGCAGGACTGCCCTTCTACCTGCCAAGGACCCTCAGACCAGCTCAACCCGACTGTCTAACCACCCCTCTAGACACTGATGAGGAAAGTAAGTATCTTGATGGCAAAAAGAAAGTACGAGAAAGTTACCTATCCATCAAAGCTGCTGTGTGTCTGACAGTTCAGGTAACAAAATTAACAACTAAGCTCATCCTCATTTTTGTTTCTTCCTTAAATAACAGATGTCTAGGATCAAATTAAACTTTTTATTCCACTTCTTAAGTAATGAAAAATGCTCAAGTTTGAGCTTGCTTAGTTAACACTATGATACTACACTGACAAGGACAGTAAACAAATTTGTTACTTTTCATTACACAAGCAATGTTTTATTTTCTACAGGAAACGTGTCCAAAAATTTACAGAAAAATTACTTTCTCTGTGCTTTTATTGGTATTAATTTTCTTGAAGTCTTGGATCAAGTTTAACAAATCATTAACACAGGATGCCTTTTTACTTTGATACTACACAGCAGTGAAATTTTGTGCAAAAGCACACACGTGTTCTATATAATTACTATTACTAACTAATAATAGAGCCAGCAGAACTGAACAAAATTATCTCCATCACAGGTCTGAGTCACATAAAAGATGAAAACACTGAACTCTCCAACTCAACACTACGGCTTCACTACAGATCGTTTTCCTCCTAAGTTTCATGATTCTGAGCAGCACCGTGCCTGGAAGACATAAAGCCATAACATAACATAATATAACATGCCAACCTAAGAAGTTAAAGTGGAGGACATCACCTCTTTTATCTGTGCAGACAACTTTTGGGATGCAAACCCTGAAAACTCTTCACTCCCGCTTCATTTTCGAAGCAGTAAGAGAAACAAACAAGATCCAGCAGACCAACAAACACCCATTAGCAGCCTGGTTAAAAGCACTGCCCCACAAACAGATCTGAGGAAAGACAAGGGAAGGTGGGACACAGAGTTGTAGTGTTGGAGTGAGCGGCTGATACCACACAACCTGGTACTGGGTCCAAAGTCCCTTTTCTCCTCAACCATGCACCCAGGGAACCTCAGGCTGAACAGTGAGCAGGTTAAGTTGTGCTAACCTCTTTCTGCATTAGAAAACACCACAATTAAAACAATACCGCAACTACTTAAAAGAAGTAATTCCAAACAATTGCTTAAAAAATAACTCTCTTTCTGTTATGAATTCTATACTTCTAAGGATTAGATCCTTCAAACTGATTGCTCACAAATACCCACAAAAACAACTCCTGCTCATTTCCAGAAATACGACTGTTTTCTTGTCTCAGCAGCAGGTTTTTCTATACTTTTCCCATGCTGTTACCCAGAAGCCCCTGCTTCAAAGTCCTGCAGCTAGCATCTTTACCTCAAATAACTACTCAGATCATAAAGCAGATCTGTGTGAAAAGGAGACAAGGTACCACATGAAGTTCTCAACTGCAGAAACCCTCTCGAAAATGACAGCTAAACAGGCCTCTGAAGCATGAAAATGAGCAGTGCATGTTAGGCTCTGAAGAGTAGCAGTGAAAAACAATTCTCCTAACATAGAGCTAGGAAACTTAGCAGGGAAAACCACCAAGTCTTTCTCCTCACAAGGCACCAAGCTTTGAAATCACAGTTTAATCTCACAGAGGATTCCCACAGACACAGAAGTAGCTGCTCCTCAACTTCTCCAGCAATAACATTTCTGGGCACTTGTGTAAGGGAATAGAAAGCTATACAGTTTATACAATACAAGAAGACATAAAGCCATGCCTGCTCTCCAGCTGCATCCTTGAGAAGCCTTATGAACTGGGGCACCATATCAACCAAACCCTGAGAAGGCATCGTTTTACTGATACAAGAGCCTTAATATATAATGTAAACGCTTATTTAAAAAAAAACGAGTAAAATCATAGCCACTTTAGGAAGATTTCTCTCTTAATTTTCCAGGTGATTACTTCTTCCTCAAAACATCCGGCATATCTAGCTATGAGTTAAAACTCAAAATATTCAGATGTCGCCGTCCGCCT